CAAGGGTAGATGGTGTATGGCCAGAAGACACACACACATGATTACACACACTACAAGAAGTTCACAATGTCACTGTGAGCCCTGGCTCTGTGACAGGACAAGGTGGCTGCTATGTTCCAACATGTCTTATCAGGACTCTGGGAAAATGGGGACCCACACTAGACATATCTCCTCACCAGGAAGCAAGCACAGAACACATCTGGTTCCCACCACCTAACAGAGTTACTCACAAAAAGGGTGGCGAATTTACCACCAGGTGGGTAGGTACTTTTTCCCTGCCCTGACCCTGCTGCTGTCCCTCTTCTGCCTGCCCTCTATCCCTCCACTGGCAGAGGCTGGAGCAAACAGCTGGATTCTGAAACCACAGTGCTGTCTCTATAAAAATATACTGAGATTCATCAACACTCTTATTGTGCGTAGATGACCTGGTGGCCTGACTCTGCATCTATCACAGGCAACTATGGCCAAGGACATGTGTGACATATGCATACACATGTATACTGCACTTGCCTGGCACTGGGCCAAACTCTACACAAAGCTGTAGGATGCACCACTGTGCCCGAGTCCTCCTCCTCAGCCTCGGCTGTGCTGGGAGGGGCCAGCCCGGCCAGCACCATGGGCAATCCTGGGGTGGTAAGAGGGCTAGACGTGGATAGGCTGTGGCCCTGGCTTCCCAGAGTGGCCGTTCCCTGGGTCTGGGGTCCTCCTGAATGCCCACTTGCCTCCAGCTGCTGTTGTCCATCTGCCTGACCCTCTCAGAGGAGCCGAGGGCCATTTCTCCAAGAAAGTCTTATTGCAAAGAGCCACCTCAGGTGTTAGAATGAAAGCCCCTTGGACCCCAGAGAGGAACATGACTGGAATGAGATGGGCAGGGCTCATCAGCCACTCGCTTCTTGCAGGCAGAGGGGAAGCCTGGGGCCCGTCTCTCCTACAAGGACTCAGAAGGCCAGGACCAGGGTCGCAGAGTCTTCTTCTGTCATAATCTGCTTGGCTCATGCACAAACTGCAGCACCCACCTGTGCCAGGTCTCTGAGTGGACCCTGTCCCACAAGGAGATGTGCAAGAGGGAGGGCGGAGTCCAGGTTGGCTGCAGAAAAGGAAGGAAGGGGGCTCTTGCCTTTTCTGCCACCAGACACAGGCCAAATGAACGAATGAACACACTACCGTGGAGTCGGATCCGACTCATAGCGACCCCTCCTTGGGTTTCCAAGGCGGTATCACTACAGAAGTAAATTGACCAACCTTCCTTCCGAGGAGTGGCTGGTGGGTTTGAACCGCCAGCCTTCTGGTTAGCAGTTACTCCTGTGGTTATGTGCATTGCTGATCAAAAGCAGCATGGACCTAAATGTATCTGAGCAGGTGGTCCCCATTAAAGGACAGGAATGACAAGGAGTATATGTGGGTCACTGGGGAGTTCCAGTGGCCAGATGCCTCATCTCTGTGTTTGTACATTTCAACTAAAAAGCGAGCATGGGGTCAAGCAATGAGAGATGATGTGAGGGTCAGAAGCTGCCTGTGCTATCAGTAACCCGAGGGCTCAACACGCCCTGACCCCTTACTGACCCACCTCCTTGGCCAGAGCCAACCCATCCAGCTCCAGCATCTGTCTCCAAATGATGACTCCTGAGAGAGGTCTGCAGCTCTCATCAGTATGTTGATTTTACTGTGGACAATGAGGAGGGTAATGGTGGTGACAGTAATGGTTGTGATGGTAAAGATGACGGTGGTGATGGTGGTGGTGATGCTTATATCAGGGCACTTCAGGAATCACAGTGTAGGCACCACTCTTCCCAACACTAAAACAAACCTTCCACCTTATTCATCAGTGCATTTCAACCAAGCCTAGTATAGTCCACTGTAAAATTAAGCAAGTTTAAAAACTAGATCTAATAAGAACAAGAGATTAAACAAAGGAACATTTTTTACAATCATTGACATATATTACAAAAATGACACAGATTAATATAATTACCTTAGCAATGATTTAAAGCTGTTTTTTTTTTTTTTAAAAAAAAAAAGATCCTACTTTGCAATTCATCCTTAACCTCTATAGGAGGTTTGAAAAATAGGCTAAGAAAGTACTAAAATTCTGTACTTTGATAATAATCAGGCAATTCTGGATTAAGACATCTCTCATCTTAAAATAAATTACTATTACTATTTTGCATGTTATAAACTATGGAAAGTCAAAACAAAAATTAGTTCTAATCTGAATCCAAACACCACTTCCATGGACCACAGGTAACTTCCTGGGTGGGATTCTCCCAGAGGAACAACTAGGCTTTGTTCCAGTCAGGGAAGACCGAACAGGTCCATGTAGAAATGGTGTGTGGATTGCACAGCCTTCAGTGAAATCAGGGTGAAAAGTGCATTTCCTTCATAGGCATGGGAATGGTGGATACTGCCCTCTGCAAACACTAACATTGTTTCTACATGCGTCCTGCACTCTGCAAACTCCAATGTCTGTTCTCAACAACTGCTTTCCTCCTGCTCCATAGAGATGGCCCGAGCCACACCCTCACCCCTCATGGTCATGGGCTGTGACATCTAAGAAGTCAGAAGAACAGTTTCAGCTTATGCCAGAAAAGCCACAGATGCTCTTGCAGATGGAATTCTCATCGTTCAGGTGTAATGCAGGGATGTACAAGAATGAGACCTAATGGGGCTTTGAGAATTAAATCTCTTCAATAAAGCTGAAAGAACTAAGAGTCAAAGACTATTTGCTAGAGAACCTTTTCTTTAAAGCTGATTGTACAGATACAATAAGTTCCTGTACCCAATACCTCTTATTTTCAGGGTGTGTGTTTCATGAGCTCATTGAAGAGATACATTTATCTTATTTCCCCAATCCTATACTTGTTCCCAATTATTAAGAGGAAAAAAAAAAAAAGGTCAAAGAAAGCATTTCTCATTGGCTGGTGATGTGGTCTCTTATCTTGTCCCCACTTTGGCAGTGACAGTATTTAAAGGTGGTACAAAGAATCTTGGCCCAGGTAAGTTAGCTGGTCCCTATTTCCTGTCAGGCTATCAGCCACAGCCTTGTATCTTGATCACGCAGGGACAAGCATGGCCAGGGCTCTACCCAGGGCTGCAAGAAGCCTGTGACTTCTGCAGCTCCTTGAGACAAACCAGGAACTAGGAAACTCAACAACCCAATGTGATACAGGAAGAGATGCTCTGACATGCTGGCCACTGGCCAACAAGCCCAAACCTCATGCCTGGCCACTGCTCACTGCTGTGGCTGTGCTGAGGGCAGGACAGATGCAAGTTAAGACATATAGAATATGAGTGAAGGGTTGGGATGTAGGGGAAGAAAAAAATGAAAACGTGGAATGGTGTAGCAAAGTTAAAGAGAGCAGCATCTTTGCTTACAGTATTTTTCAACAAGTGAAGATGCACTATAAATAGGTGAGAGTCCCTGTGGAACTGCATTCACAGGAGGGGCTTCCTGTGGGAGATGGAGCAGGGGAAGAGGCGTCTCCCAGGGGAGAGTCTGCTTTCCTGGAGCCATATCCAGTACCTCCTGATTCCCATCATCTCCATCCATCCCTGCAGGCTGTGTGGCTCCTGGGAGATGCAAAGCTCCACATTCACCCGTGACCTTCATCTAAGACTTGGGGGTAAGGGTTGGGGAGGAAGAGGTACTGAGATCAAGACACGCCCAAGTCTTAGGGACCCTGGGCACCCTTGCCTGCTAGCCACACTTAAGGTGACCCCAATCCTGGGCAAAGTGAGACCAGGAAAGTTGCCCCCAAGCAGTGAGCACCTGGACTTGTTTCACAGCTAATGCTAAAACCTCTGCCATCCCAGCCTGATGTGGGGGATCTCAGAGCTGCTTGTTTGATACTCTGCTGTCCCCCAACTTGTGCCAAAACCTGTCTCCTCTGGAGGTGGGATTTGGGTGGCTGAGGTCTGCAGCAGACTTTGATGAAGGGGCCTGCTGTGTCCTGACATTTGATTGGCACAGAACATATTGTGGAGGGAGGACGGGGTGATATTACTGGCCTTGGGGATCGAATATGCTAGCGAAGGGAGGTGGAGTCTGAAGTCCTTCCTCTGTTTTCCACACCTGTCTATAAACACTTGTTTATAAACACTGTGGCTGGACACCTCTGTCACCAGCAATCCGTGGGGCAACAACACATGCACACTGCACCACAAATTAGGCAAGTTTTCCAAAGGAAACAGACATGGTGATTTCCCTGGAACTCCATAGCCTGCCCAACCTCACCTGTAATTGTGTTAGATCCCCTCAATGATGTGTCAGGAGATTCCTAAAAGAAGATGTTACATGAAGGTCCCTCTGATTACTCTCGGGGAGGGCATGCAAAAGTCCTACCCAGTACCTGGTGTGACTGAACAACTGATTAAAAAGTCTCTTCCACATGGTTAAACCAAAGAGCCGTATCTGAGATCCCCAGGACTCAAAGAGCAGCAAATTAAGAAATTAAAACTCTGATACAGGAGAAGAGGGTAAGATTAGAATGACGATAAAGATATTTGGCATAATTCTTCCAGGGCTGATCCGTTAAGGGATCAATTAAAACTCAGCTCATTCTGAGAGACGCAAAGACTCAGGACTCCCAGGCCCACCCATTCAGGACACAGGTTATGTGCAGCAGGTGGAGGGCCCAGGGCCGACACAAGGCCCCTGGGCCAGTGGGCCACTCCCTCACCACTAACATGTACCCCACCAAGGGGGCAAAACACCCAGAAGGCTATAAGCTGGAGCTGATTACCCAGGGAGACCCAGGAGCCTTCAGGAAGGAGGAGAGCTGAGTTTCTAGATTTTAACTTTCTGTGATCGCCTTTTTTTTTTTTTTTTTTTAAAAAAAAGCAAGGGCAGCACATTTTCACAATTCAGAATAGTGAAGGTTGGATGCCCAAGGAAGAACAGGTATCAAAGTCTTGGTCACAGCTCTAGGGCAGACATTACGTTTTCACAGGACAACGATGAAGACACCGATAGGTTGTGCGTTGCGGGAGCCATGCACATGGCCTTACAGCACCGTGGCCTGCACGACAATCTCTGGGTTTTCGATGTCCTTCTTGCTTTGCACCATCCTGAGCTCCAGCTGGGCTGGGCTGGGCTTCTGTCCCTTTCCAGCCTGGGCTGCAAGAACACGCAAAGCATTAATGGCCAGGAGTGGAGCAAGGAGCTGGCACTGCTCGTGTCTTTCCTTCCTCGCCTGCCCAAGCCCCTTGCATCGCCTGGATCACTTCCAAGGTCTATTTCAGATAGGAGCTCCCCCCATCCCCCTACTGGCCCCAGCCCTAAAGGCTATGGCTAGCAGAGACAGTGACCCATTCATGGCAGGAGAGACGCCCTTTCCAGTGTAGTCTCCCTCCTCCCACCCCTCTGTCCAAAGTTCCCAATGCTATGCAAACACATGACCATCTCACCACAGGAAGTGAGGGGCCACCCACTTCCCCTGGGCAGTACCTTTTGCACACTGGATGGTCCTCTGTAGGACGTGCTGCATGGCAGACACAGTTTTCTCACATGCCACCTGCAGAGGAGAGAGACCTGTGTCCCTGCTCACCCTCCAACAGCCCTGGAGGGGGTTCTGTTAATGTAAACACTGGGGCACAGGCTTCACATCAGAGAGGACCCCAAGCCACCATATGCTCCCCAGATTTTCACCTGTCACATGAAGGACTCTGCACCTTGAAGAGGAGAGGTGAAGGCCTTGTCTAAGCCTTTCACTGCCCAAATATAGATCTGCTTTATCCTTAGGCAAATATATTCATATGTACTTACATATCAAACAGGGGGGCAGACACCAAAACAACTCACACTAAGTGCTGAATGCCCCCCCAGTCAGACATGACATGATCCATTGGTTTATATAGCATACTACAAAGAGCCCAGGAAAGCGGAGTGGGTGTCTATCTATGAAACTAACTGCCTCCCTCTTGACTACAGATGACAGTGGGAAAGGCTATTTCATGACCTTTGTCATTATTGCCTTGCAGGTAAACTTTAACCCTTTAACCAGTTGCTGTCAAGTTACCCCAACCCATGACCCAATGTGTGTCAGAGTAGAACTGAGATCCATAGGGTTTTCAATGGCTGATTTTTCACAAGCAGATCACCAGGTCTTTCTTCCAAGGCACCTCGGGGTAGACTGGAACCTTCAACCTTTTAGTTAATGGTTGAGTACGTTAACTGCAAACAACACCCAAGGGCTCCACCTGGCATGTAGTGGATGCTTGATAAATGTTTCTGGAATGAACTGACCATGTAAATTTAATGGGGAAAAGATGTCACTTGTTGTCATCTCAAAGTCAGAGCTGGTGACTGGAGGGCAGGGGCTATGGAATCTATACATATTCCCACCAATGCCATGACCCCGGGGCTGGGCTAGATCAATGATGAGGACTCCTCAGGGCATCATTTGGCAAGTTTCCACTGCTCTGTACCAAAAGGCCCTCTAATTGCTGCCAATTAATCCAGCAGTCTGCCATGTGTGCACATCTCTGCACCCGGCAGGGGAGAGGTGAAGATTCAGCCTATGCCCTTCACTGTACTAACTTGGATCTGCTTTATCCCCACTGTTAGGGATTGAAATGTGTCTCCCAAAAATATGTGTTGTAAATCCTAACCTCTATGCCAGTGGTTGGGAGCTCTGGTGGCATAGTGCCTAAGGCATTAGACTGCTAAGGCTGGTGGTTCAAACCCACCAGCTACTCCTTGGAAGGAAGATTGGGCAATCTACTTCCATAGTGATACTGTCTCAGAAAACCAAGGAAGGGTCACTATGAGTCGTATCCAACTCAATAGTAGTGCATTTGGTTTTGGTTTTGGTTATGCCAGTAGTTACCATTTCCTTTGGGAAGGGGTTGTCTTTGGTATGTTAATGAGACAGGATTAGTGTAGGGTATGTTTTGAATCAATCTCTTGCAAGATATAAAAGAAGCAGATTAAGGAGGCAGCGATTTGGGAAGAGAGATGCCAAGCCACATGAAGATCACCAAAGACCAGAGGCTCAAAGAGACAAGGACCTTCCTCCAGAGTAGACAAAAAGAGAAAGCCTTGTCTTAGAGCCAGCACTGTGAACTTGTACTCCTAAACTGTGAGCTTTGTGCTGCTAACCAAAAGGTTGAGGGTTTGAACCTACCAGCCACTTTGCAGGAGATAAATGAGGCTGCCTGCTTCCATGAAGATTTACAGCCTTGGAAACCCTATGGGGCAGTTCTACTTTGTCCTATAGGGTCACTATGACTCAGAATTGACTTGATGGCAATGGGTGGTTTTAAACTGTGAGAAAATAAATTTGTTTGTTTCATTTGCAGTATTTGTTATAGCAGCACTAGATAACTAAGACATCTATGCAAGTGCATTTATGGGCAGTCATATACCAAAGAGGGTCTGGACAGCCCAACAACTCTCAGTAAGAGCTGAATCCCCAACACAGTCTAACAGATATGCATCCACCCACTCACCACCCTCATACCCTGACCTTGGTCCTCCAAGGCAGCCTAGCCTTCTGCTCATCTCCTTCTGTCAAAAAGGCTCATCATGTCATTGTAGCAACTATGTTTTCATACCATTTACTGTACTCATCACTAAAAGATGTCCAGGTAGTCTGGGATGGACAAGATGGCTCAGACCACAATTCTTGAAGCTAAGAGCCAGTCAGTTTTCACAGGATTTGGGATTCTCTCCGGATCACACCTGCCTGAGTTCAGTCTCCCATATACCCCTGAAAACTTCACAGGTGAGGCAAGAGGGTGGAGCCGAGACAGTGGGCCATGAGCCGGACTTGAACCTAGACTGTTGACTCAGGAGCCCCTGGCCCTCTGCCCACCTTTCCCTGGCATCAAAGTGGCAGCTAAGCTGGCACAGGACATACATGCTGGTGTACCCAGCCCTACTGTCCTTCTCTCCTTGGAACTTCAAACCAGTGCCCCATACAGGGGGCAGCTGGATGACCATGGGGAATGGTGTACTGTGCTGACCTTGAGATTATTGGGGTGCTTATGCGTCCAGGCCAGCAGCATCGCAGCAAAGAGGTCCCCAGTGCCCACGAAGACAGCATCTACCCTGCGCATCTCCATCCGGATCCGCTCTGTCACGATGGAGCCATCAGGCTGCCCTGGAAGATGCAGATCAGGAGGCTCTGGCCCACAGCTTTTCTGCTGAGCCCCACTCCTTTCCTGCTTGGCAGCAGGGAGGGGTGTTCATAGTGACAGTACATGGGGTGATCTCACCTAGAGGGACCTGACCCAGATTGTGCCAGGGTGCCCCCATCCATCCCTAGCTGCTGTCCCTTTCCCAAGAGAAAACAAAAAAGACTGTGGTATCGGTTGAGTTGTATATTCCCAAAAGTTATGTTGACATCCTAACCCCTGGATCTGTGCAGGTGACCCTGTTTGGGAATACGTATATAGTATATAGTGTACCTTTCTATATATAAAAAACATTAAAGAAACACTTCCAGATACATTAAAAACATCTTTAACACAAAACTACACTAATACTACAGTAATAATAATAATGTTTTGATGTATATCACAAAGTAGAGCCTGTTTGTTATTACGAACCATTGTTATATACCTCAAATTGTTAATATAATAGGTTTTACGGTGTTGGTTTGTCACTATGGGTTGTACATTAAGTTGCATGTCTGTAACCCTGTGAATGCCTGCAGTTTAATAATCAGCAAGAAAGCAGAAATGTCCTTCCAGAGAGATGAGCAGTCTATGCCATGAGGGGCCTGTGGGTGCCTGGCTCCATGGAAGCTAGACTCCCACTGGGCCTCCAAAGAACCTGTGCAGTCTAGGACAGCTCTTGGCTCCCTGAGCTTGCAGGTCAAGGCCTCTACCCCATTCCCCAGGTTGCAGTCATGGCTGCCTGAGAGCCACTTGCCTGAACATTTGGGGTGGAGTCGTCAGTATCCCGTGTTCCCCTCTCCCTATCACGGGAACCTCCCTGGTTCTGCTTTCAGTCAGACCTTCCCATGGGGCAATGGAGTCAATCTATCTCTCCTTGCAGAATCAGGCCCAGCTTTCTTTGTAAGGAACCCAAAGGATATCTGGGAGTGGGGCACTCACTTGTCCTCTGGCTACCCAGTGCAATCAGGTAGTCACTGCCCTGTGGGGATGGCAGGTCGGAGCTGGTGATGACCACGGTGTCAGGTCCCATGGAGTGTAGCATATCCATCACCTGCTGAGGCAGGGGACAGCAGTTAGCTTGGTTCCAAGCCAGACTGTGCACTAACAGCATATCCTGGGGCCATTGCTTGGCCCTACCCTCTTTGCACCACTCATAACCAGTACACACACACTCATATGCACCCAAGTGCACTTTCTGGCAAAGCTGCCCTTTGTAAGGGGAACACAGGGTGTAGCTTGCTGGGATGGGGACAGTAGAGGCTAACAACCTGGAAAACTGCCCCCTGATCCTAGGCCTCCCTGTGTCCTGTGAAGGGATGGTGTTCTGGTTACCTAATGCCACTCTGACAGAAATATACCACAAATGGGATGGCTTGAACAAACAGAAGTTTATTCTCTCACAATCTGGAGGCTTTAAGTCCGAGTTCAAAGTGCCAGGCTCTAGGGGCTGGGTGAAAGCCCCTCAGCCTTGGGCTTCTTCAGCCTTAGCAGCTAGCAGCTGTCTGCATGAAGAAACGCCTCTAGCTTCAGTGGGCCAGGAGCTGGAGGCAGAGCTGAAGCCCAAGGTTGACAAGAAAAAGGCACAGTAAAAAAGATGTTACCAAACCACACGACAGGCCATTAATTCAAGTCCATTGTAAGTCCCAAGGTCGGCAGAGCACGGCAGGCTGCTGACCAACAACATGGCTACATGCAAGGTCCAAGCATGCTTTACGCTAGAGACCATTCCCAAACCTGCTTCTTATATACAGGAAGCAGACCACATACCCAAAGCAGCTACCCAGCTGCTTGTGGAAGATCCCACCATGCAGCTGACTGCCAGTCTCATCATGGGGCATAACCACCACCAGCTGCCCACTCAACCAGGCCCAGACAAGCTGACACAGAAACATAACCACCACAGATGGCTTCTCCAGTGTGAAGCTGCAGTCCAAGATCCTGTGTGTGCCGTCACACATCCAACCTCACCTAGTACCTACTTCCCATAGGAAGAGCCTTCAGGCCCAGGCCTTAGTGGTACCCTCATCTGGGATAAAAGCTACACACACCTTCCCCCATCAAGCAACAACAGCTTCCACCTTCCCTTGATCTCTAGTGAGCTGTGTGATGGGCTGAATTGTATCCCCAAAAAAGATGCTGAAGTCCTAACCCCTGCACCTATGAATGTGACATTGTTTGGAAACAGAGCCTTTAAGAAGTCAACTGGAGTAGGGTAAGTCCTGATACTGTATGACTGGTATTGTCATAAAAGAGAAGAGACACAGACAGGCAGACACCGTGTGATGCTGCAGCTACAAGCCAATGAACACCTGGAGCCACCAGAAACTGGGAGACAGGCATGGAACAGATTCATGAGCCTAAGAAGGAATCCACACTGCTAACACCCTGATCTCGGACTCCCAGGCTCCAGAACTGTGAGAGAACAAATTTCTGTTGGTTTAAGTCACCCACTTTGTGGTACTTTGTTATGGTAGCCTTAGGAAACTAAGACAGCCATTTACTCATTCATTCACTCAGCAAAATCTACTGCTGTATGTCCACCAACATCTAGGGCTGGTGGTTTCCTACCCTCCAAGGGCATATGTCTAGGGATAAAATACCTACTCTGGGGTCCATGGGGGCTCAGGAGGGCCAGCTACACAGAGCCCTGAAGACTGAAGAAAGGACCTAAGAAGTGGAGGCCAGCACTGGTGGCAGGCAGGGCCTCACACATGGAGTAGGGCACCCCATGTATCTGCACTGTCATTACTGAGGCCCCCTTTCCTGGGGTTACTCTGAGAATATTAAAGTAGGAGGAATCATCTCCCTGCAAAAGGCTCACACGCTGACCTGAATTCACCTACATAGTCTGAGATATCCCAAACAGGACCCCACAAAAAAGCATGGCAGATCTACCCTCTCCCTTGTCAGCAGGTCCTTATCCACCAGTCTGAGGCCTAGGGAGATAACCCCAGCCAGGAGCAGAGGACATGGAGCAAGAGGAACTTAGCTCTCTCTAGTTTGGCTTTTTCCTAACATGTTACTGTGAGGGTGCTCTCCTCATCCCCCTATTGCCTTAGAGCAAGTACCATAAGGGAAAGTGGAGAAGAACTTTGAAGGAGAGATTCCGCCTGTCAACTGCACTGTCAGCTCTTGCCCCAGAGTTTCCAGAGGCTCTTCCTGCCTGCCCGCCTCATGATAGTAGATGCCGATTCTTGCAATAAATCTCTATGTATATATATCTGATCGGTTCTGTTAGGGGAGCTCTGGTGGCGTAATACCTAAGGCATTTGACTGCTAACCAGAAGGCTGGCGGTTCAAACCCACCAGCAACTCCTCGGAAGGAGGGTTGGGCAATCTACTTCTGTAGCTTTGGGTTTTTTTTTTTGGTTCTGTTAGAGGAGCCCTGGTGGCACAGTGGTTACATGCTTAGCTGTTAACCAAAAGGTTGGTGGTTCAAATCCCCTAGCCACTTTGTGGGAGAAAGATGTGGCAATATGCTTCTGTAAGGATTACAGCCTTGCAAACCCTATGGGGCAGAATTGACATGATGGCAATGGGTTTTTACTAGTTCTATTTCTCTGGGGAAATTCAGTGGATACAGATTTTTTTTAGTCACCAGAAAGCAATAACTAGAAGGTGCTGAAATGTGTTAAAGGCTCACTTGGTTGCCTCCCCTCCTATGTCTATACACCACGCAGCACAGCCATGACCCATATGTGGGCTGGAGCAAGGGCTCCTTCACTGAGAGGTTTGCAACCCAGGCACTTGTGCTGTCCTCTACTGCTCATGAAGCCAGGCCTTCTGCAGATACTCAGATCACAGGTGCTGAGCACACCTGCAGGCCTCTAGAAAAATGACAACACACGATGTGTGAGAGTGCAAAAGGACTGGTCAGCTAAATCGTGCAGGAGACTCTCCAAGTGCCAGCACATAGCAAGTGCTCAATAAATGCTGATGGCATTGACATGAGCATGAAAACAGTCCATTAGCCAAGATCCCCAACAAGTGCTGAGCTACAGGCAATCAGCCCTACCTCCTCATCAGATTTCCTACTGTAACTGCGGAAGCCAGTGTGCCCTACAGTGTGACCCCCCATGTGAGCATCATGGCCTTGCTCCGTATAAGCCCCCCTCCTAAATGCATGTGATCTTCAGCAGGTCTGCCTTACCGCCAGTGCTTCTTCTTGGCTGTGGATCTTTCTGCCGCTCAGTAACCTGCAAGACAGGCAAGAGGGGACAGGCAGGGGACACATGAGACGTCTTTCCAGGTTCTGCCACAAGAGGCTGAGACCTGAGAGTTTATTTCTGTAACAGTGTCCCCAAGCTACAGCGGCATGGTAACCCTCCCACCAAAAGGAGCTTGCTTGGCATCTGTGACAAATTCCAAACCAGCCTAGTCCAACCTCAGCTGAGAATATTTAGCCACACTGCACATGTCTTCAAATGACCATGAAAACAAACAGAAAAATCGAGTACAGAATCAGGGAATAATGAAGATAGACTGTACCTGTGTTTTAGTTATCTAGTGCTGCTGTAAGAGAAATACTCCAAGTGGGTGGCTTTAACAAATAGAAATTTGTTTTTTCAAAGTTTAGGAGCCTAGATGTCTGAATTCACGGTGCCAGCTCTAGGGAAGGCTTATTCTCTCTGCAGGCTCTGGAAGAAGGTCCTTGTCCCTGGCCTGTGTTCATATGGCTTGGCATCTCTCTTCCCCTATCTCTCTTACACTCTTGCTTGTTTAATCTCTTTTCTATCTCAAGAGATTGACTCAAGATACACACTATACTAATCCTGCCTCATTAACATAACAGAGGCAACCTATTCCTAAATGGGATTACAGCCACAGGTATAGAGGTTAAGATTACAACACATATACTTGAAGGACATAGTACAATGGTAGAATAGGCAGCAGTAGACATTTCCATTACAAATGGGAGAAATCGAAAGGAAGGGATAATGGGCATCAAGCAAGGCCAAAACTTAGCAGGACGCTGCTACATTAGCTTTCATGGGTTGCAAATAATCCCCTGTACTTTGGGACCATCTGGGCAAGGGCCTCACCCTCCAGACTCTCGATGTTGGCTGCAGTCTCTGGAATCTGGATGGAGGGCCCTCAGCCCTGGCTTCAGCTCTGCCTTCCAGGCCCACTGAAAGGCAACTCTATTCCTTTGGCTTACCAAAAAAACCAAACTCACTGCCATTGAGTCGATTCTGACTTATAGCAACCCTCTTTGGGTTCCAAGGTGGTAAATCTTTAAGGAAGTAGATTGCCCAGTCTTCCTTCTGCAATGTGGCTGGTGGGTTTGAACCGCCAACCTTCTGGTTAGCAGTCAAATGCCTTAGGCACTACGCCACCAGAGTTCCTTTCCTTTGGCTTACTCACTGTCGTTGAATCAGATCCAACTGACAGTGGCCCCTCCTTGGGTTTCCAAGGTGGTATCACTACAGAAATAGATTGCCCAATCTTCCTTCTGAGGGGTGGCTGGGGTGTTTGAACCACCAGCTTTCTAATTAGCAGTCAAATGCCTTAGGCACTACGCCACCAGATGATCTTCCTTCTGCTTAGGGTCCTGTTGTTGTTGTTACGTGCCGTCGAGTCAGAACTGACTCTTAGCGACCCCTCCTTGGGTTTCTGAGGCAGTATCACTACGGAAGTAGATTGCCCCATCTTCCTACTGAGGAGTGGCTGGTGGGTATGAACCGCCAGCCTCCTGGTTAGCAAGCAGTCAAGTGCCTTAGGCACTACGCTACCAGAGTTCCCAGGGTCCTATTAGGGTGGCCCTACTCTTTCAGCCCATCTGGGTGCTGACCCCACCCATTTGGTCCCATTGGGCATGGCAGCCCTGAATTCTTTCCTTTAGTTCATTCTTAGTCCCTTTCAGTCTACGCTGATGGATTTTCTACTGTGGTAGCTGGTTAAAGACATCAGTCACAGGCTTTTTGTCTCTTTAACAAAAGATTATATAGCTACGTCGTTGGTGAAAATTCAAAGACATGTGCTCTTAGTATTTAAAACAATTTTGCAAATATTTAAGTTTTGTTTTCATTTTATACAGTTTATTTTTAAGTTTTAAGCATAACAAAAATTGTGACGATGGTGGAGGACTTGGCACTGTTTCATTCTGTCGCTATGAGCTAAAACCAACTCAACCCAAAAATCCACTGCCATTGAGTTGATTCTGACTCATAATGACTCCCATTAGTTTTCTAAGGCTGTAAATCTTTATAGAAGTAGATTGCCTCATTTTCCTCCCACAGAACAGCTGGTGGGTTTGAACTGCTGACTTTCTGCTTAGCAGCCAGATGCCTTGCCCACTATACCACCAAACAACCATAAGCAATTCAACAACACCTAAAAATTATAGCATTTTCAAGTCCAGCTGATTACTAATAGTGGCAAAGAGAAATCCTTGGCCCCTTTAAGAGCTTGCTTAGAAATCTCCTCACCCAGATATCCAAGTTCATCACTTACAAATTCTACCTTCCACCAAATATCTGAACATGTATTTCAGACAAATTCTTTGACACTACATAAAAAGTATCACCTTTTTTCCATTGTCCAATCACATATCCATCACTTCCTTTTAAAGCCTCACCAGAAACACATTTAATACCCACATTTCTAGCACACACTCTGTTGCTGGTGCCATATGTATTCTCTAGGATGACAGAGACTCTATGGATCTTCTCATTTCCTTCTGAGCCCTCACTAGAATTGCCTTTGATGTCCATAATTCTACCAACACTCTCTTCAAGGCAATCTAGGCTTTTGTATTAGGTACCTTACACATTTTCCAGCCTCTACCCATTACCCAATTCCAAAACCACCCCCATATTTTAGCTATTTGTTAGAGCAGCAGCCCCACTTTTCAGTATCAAACTCTGTCTTAGTTTATCTAGTGCTGCTATAACACAAGTGGGTGGCTTTAATAAACAGAAATTTATTTTCTCACAGTTTAGAAGGCTACAAGTCTGGATTCAGGGGTGCCAACTCTAGAGGGTTTTTTTTTTTTTTTC